TTTCTATGTAAATGTCTTGTTTGGCTGGCATCCGATGCGGGCCAACCGAAAGCCCAACGGGTACAGTAGTGCGGAGGAGCAATACCTGTAAAAGTCACTAACGAAGTTCTGGTGCTAAGTCACTTTTCCCTGTCCCTGCACTTTCATGCACCAAGTCTGCACCTCGAATAAAGGGAAAGAATCAATCAATGCATCTTATGCCGGAGTGTCGCAGTGGATACGCGACGTATCCGGCTCAATGATAGTTATGTATGCCGCAGGGCCGCATGAAAGTGCAAGTACAAGACGTAAAGGGAAAGAATGAATGAATGAATTGGCATGATTTGCGGTAAGGAAGAGTATTTAGTCTTATAGACTTTTACTCTTAAATTAGTAACCCTACGGGGTACGTCTTAGTGGGAGTAGAAGTCCACTTTATGATTTAAAGTGGAAAATATTTGAGTCCTAAAAAGAGAAAACAATTATTAAAGAAAGGGAAAGAATTCCTTTCCTTTTCCCACTATTGCCGTGTGTAGCTTGCAGATAGCAAGCTGTATACCGGCTGTCATGAATTAAAAGTACATTGCAGGTATAGCAAATGCATGAGTGTGTCCGGAGGACAGGATGCAAAGTAAAAGAGGGTGTGACTACTTTGTCACGTGGAGGCTATAGCGGCGTCTGGTAGGCTGGAGAGATGCTGGTCCAAGTTTCAGGAACTGTGGGCCTTTTTACAAATATTCAGTGCATAAACACATCAAAGTGCATTTTTCTCACAATTAGAAAGACTATATAAAAAATAAAATATGTATTTACAAAGTAAAATTACGCAGGGAATCCAGCAGAAGCAGTCAAAGATATCTCTTAGTAGAGGTCTTTTGTTTGGCTGTTGAGACGTGTATACGAAAATCATGAAAATTTGCTATTTACAAAATATTCAATTGCAGAGACATAAAAACATATTTTTCCAGTAAACTAGAAGTTAAATTAAATAAAATAAAAGAAATTTGAAACCAATAGAAGCAGTGAGAGATCTACAGTAAGCAGTAGAAGACTTTAGTTTGTAGTCACGTGGGAAGTCACCCTCCCGTGCCTTGACCCCGATAGTAGCTTTGATAAACTTTGATACTTTTGATATGCCTGTTTCAGCAGGAATTATATCCCGCTATTACAGGCACCTCAAATAACCCCGGTTAGGGGAGACATAGCATACAGTGCTTCGCAGGAATACCTTGATAAGGGACTGCAGGACAGGACAGGAAAAAGTGCAGGGGGCACCACGACATCGTCATAGACAAAAATGGTATTGCTCCACTGCACTAAACTTTTCGGACAAAAATTCAAGACTTACATTACCTTTTTGGCATTACACAAAAATTTATTACAGAAGTTACGCATTAAGTTGACATAATAAATTACATTAAAGTAAAAAGTTACATAGGAACATAGGAAGAACAATTATAAAGATAAACTAATCGATGTACAGATATATTGGTATCAGGAATCAATGGAGATAACATGTTACAATTAATTAGGTGTTTGCAGTTTGACATTTGGTTGGTGTGCTTGGAGGAATGCCTTAGCATATGAGAAGATGGATGTGATGTGAGTTATAATGCTATGTTGTTTTTTTTGTGTGGTGGTATCATTGTGTGATTGTGCACAGATTTTCCAGAGAGTTTACTTTGAACAGAGTTCATTATGCATAGAGTTCAATGTGCACCGAATTGTGCGCAGCAGCAGCATGGAGAGCATGGCCTTTGTATAATGGGGCATCAGATAATATATGTATGTAAGTTCAAAGTACTGCGCTTTGGTAGTTTGAAGGCACTGGTAGTTAATAATTATCACTCACATAAATAGTGATGACTTAGGATAGGAGCACTCCCTGTTGAATATCATATTTGAATCATATGAGTACCTTAGATTGTTTCCATGGAAAGTTAAATGGTGAAGCTGTAGATTAGATGTCGTTCTTCAGTGGAAGTGAGCAAACAGTCATGATTCTTTGGACAGCTGTGTGGTGGCACTTCGATTGCTAAGTATACATCATTACGTCCGTTTTGTTATTTATGAGTGGCATAGTTCTCTACCTTGTTGTTGTAGCTTGTCTATGATAAGGAAGATTGTGTAGATGTGGCCCAGGCCAGTGTAAATGACGTCTGGATGGAAGTCAATACTTCCATCCAGACGTCATTTACACTGGCCTGGAAATAATGGATAATAAATGGAAGTCACTAATAATAAATGGAAGTCATACTTTGAAACTTCAAAAATTGGCTGGCACAAGTTAGGAGTATTTATGGGGGATTCCGATAAATGTGGGTTGCATAGGGCCTTAAATTGATGTTAATTTCTAGGAGCTCGTACTTAAAATTGTCAGAATAATTTACCTCCACGTTGGTGATGGCTTTCTTGAAAAAATTATTATTTAATTTATTGATGAATAACGCCAGATTTTGGAGTTTAAGGTCTCTGTGTAGCTGTTCATTGCGAACGAACCAGGGTGCTCCTGTGATTTTTCGTAAGTAGTTGTTTTGGAAAACCTGCAATTAATTTAATACGGAAGGGGGAACAGAGCACCATGCAGGGAAGGCATATGTAAGGATGGGTCTTAATATTGATGTGTAAATGTGCTTCTTGCGAGCAAGATCCAGTGGTGAAGAGGCGTCAAGAAAGTTTCGGAGCTTCCTAGAGACTCCTATGGCTTTCCCGATGGTCATGGAAATGTGAGGACCCCATGTAAGCGAGCCGTTAAAACGAACTCCCAAGTATGTAGCCTCTTTGACTTTGGGCACCGTTTTCATTAAAGAGGGTCAGATCTGCATCAGTGTTTTTTCTTCTATGCCGTCCTATCAGTAATAATTTAGATTTTGTAGCATTAATGGACGTCCTCCATTTGCGACACCATTCCTCTGGTATCTCGTGTGTGTGGTTTTGTATTCTGATAATGACATGTAGTGGATTAAGTGAACTAGAAAGAATGGCGGTGTCGTCAGCGTAGCAGGCGGCGGTGATGCAGTTTGTATTTTCAATCATAGGGAAGTCCTTAACATATAGAGAATAGGCCCAAGGATGCTTCCCTGGGGAACGCCTGCTTTAATTAATGTGTTTTCAAAATAAACATCGCCCTGCCTGACATAGAAGGATCGATCACTTAGAACGGAGTGAAGAATCAAAATCGTTTCCCTGGGGAGATCAAGGGAAGCAAGCTTGTAGATAAGTCTGTTATGCCAGACGCGGTCAAAGGCTTTTGCCACGTCCAGCATAAGGAAAGCAGTTGTATGGTGCTTATGAATAGCTGCGCTTTGTAGTCTTTTGCAGATAATTCTCTCTAGGATCTTTCCCAGTGCAGGAAGCAAGCTGACTGGGTGAAACCCATCCATTCTTGTATTATCTTTTCCCAGTTTGGGAATTAAGATGACAACCGCTTGTTTCCACTCAGCTGGGAAATAGCATAGGTACAGGCAGGCGTTGTAAATGCTACAGAGTTTGTTAATGAAATTACCAGGCAAATGTTTAATTATTGTATTAGAGATTTTGTCCTTCCCTGGTGCTTTTCTATTATGAAGTTTAGCTATAATAGAGCTAACTTCTGGGAGAGGTAAAAACAGGGAGATTTTTGACACTGGGCTGGTTAATCCAATTATCGACAAACATGTTAATGTGACTAATGAAATTTCGGTCTGAAGGGGTCTCATTTGGAGTGAACTGCTTGGCGAAGTGGGTGGCAAAGGCTTTAGCTTTGTCTTCGTTGCTGTATTTGAATCCAGTGTCGTCCTGTAGAGGTTTGTTGCTTGTTTTTTGTCGACTTCATTAAACGGAGGGACTTCCAGAATTCTCCGTCTTCCGCATTTAATTTTTCAATTTTGTTATTCCAAAGTTTAGTCTGGTGGGAGTCAATTAACTTTTTAATATTGCGATTAAGTTTATTAATTTGCGATTTAATTGCTGGGTCACGTGAGTAGGCGAAGATCTTGCGGAGTCTATTTCGTGTTTGGCTAATTAATTTAATTTCTTGCGGAAGTTTGAAGTGATGTTTTTTATTAATAATTTCTGTAGTAGAATTTTGCAATGCCGTATCAATGCAGGTGGTGATGTACTTGTGATAGCCTGGTCGATATCATGCGTATTTTTAAGTTGCTCTGTTTTGGGGAGGTGATTGTTAATTTCAGATTTGAATTTTTCCCAATCAGTAATTTTGTAAGTGGGTGCTTGGCTTCAGGCCTGCCAATACCAAGGTGTGCCAGAACTGGCACGTGATCTGAAGAAGAATCATTGATTACTTCCGTAGTGATCGGTAAGTTATCAGATGTGAGGAAAAGATCCAGTATGTCTGGATACTGTCTTGGGTGAGTAGGCCGGAAAGTAAAATCTTCTGGAGGGTAAATGTAGTATGGGTAATTGAACAGGAAGTTTTGAAGGATATCACCGTTTTTATTTGTTTTGCGGCACCCCCAGCTAACATGTTTAGCATTAAGATCACCTCCGATTATGGTGGGAAAGGGGTTATTTATTAAATTCTGTAAGTGTTGATCTTGCAGCCTGAGATCTGGAGTGTTGTGTAGGGCACATACAATCATATTTCCCCAATTAGGGATCCGAACGACTACCCTAACTTCTTCAAAACCCGTGAGAATTGTCAGAAGCGTAGAAGCAGGAGTCCAAACTCCGCTTAACATAGATTACGGCACCTCCGCCTCTATGTCTGATCCTATCACAGCGATAACTGCGATAGTTAGCAATACTCAGGGAGTGCGCTGGCGTAGCGTGTGTCTCAGTGATTAGTGCAATGTCGATGTTGTAGTGTGTGAGAAAGTCCTGCAGTTCGCTAATTTTGGTGATAATGTTCTGCGCATTCCATGTCATGATCGTCACTGGGGTCATTTTTACTAAGGACCTACGATCCATAATTTATCTTAGTATCGGGCCTCACTGTAGTTTGCTTTTCTGCCATGGCAGTTGTATTGTGTGTAGAAGCGCTATAAGATCAGCAAGGTTCTTCATGACCTGCTGAGCGTCCGCTACAGCTTTCTGAATTTTCCCCGCGAAAATATCAGATTGAACAGCCTGGGCGTAGGATTTATTGACAATGACCCTTTCATCAAAAACTTGGGGGCATTGGGTTTCTGCTTTGGGAAGGCCTCACAAACCCTCCAGTTGCTGCTGGTATGCTTTCCCGAGACAGTTACAACATTTCGGCTCAGAATCTTTAGGTTCCGGGCAATCCCGGCTTTCATGAGGGCCTGCACACTTACAGCAGCGCAAGGCGGGTGGTGACACGCCGCCTGCGCGTGATGGTACCTTTGACATCGAAAGCATTGTGTCGGCCCACGCCGACCACGATATCTTTCGACTTTAATGTGCAAGTACATTAGATATTTCAGATGATATATCTCATTGTTTTTAGGGGTCTTAGAAAGAGTGACCAGAAATAGGGGCATTTTAGCCCTATCTTTTCCTCTGCCCTTCATCAGTTGTTCCACTTTGAGCGCAGTGAAATCTTTTTCACGGAGTTTCTCCTGAATGTCCGTGGGTTTCGCATCAATGGGAAGATTTCTTATCACAACTTTGAGGTTCTTCTCCTCAGGGAGAAGGAACGAGTGATAAGAAAATTCTTTTTTGTCGAAAAGGGCAGTCATGCTTCGGAAGGTATCCGAATTTTTTGTGTGTATTTCATAGTTGCCTTCACCTTTCTTTTTCGCGGTGAAATCGGTCAGTTGTTCCTTTTCAAGCAGTTCAGTGAAAGATTTCCAGTTGTACTTGCATTCTCGAATGCAAATTGGCGGCATTTTTGCCGTCCTGTGCGGGAAAGTGAACTGACCCTCAGTTCGGGTTGCTCCAGTCTGAGTTTCACGAGCATCACTATCCATTGGCCCAACCGGGCACGTGACCTCATCCAAGATGTTGATTGGCCGAGCTACGCTTTCTGCCAAAGACATACTCGCGTGAGCTGACTTTTCAGTAGCCCCAATAGATGGCGCCACATTATCATGACTACTGGTAGCAACCTCGTGTGTTCGAGTGTTAGGGCCATCCACACTGATTGGTTGATGAAAGGCAGTGTCGATCACGGCAGACGAATCGCGTGGTTCTTCTTCCTGAGAGCGGCAGGATTCAGAAGTTTCTCTTCCTGAGGAACAGGATTCACAGATTGTTCTTTACCTTTTGGGTTTATAGCCGGGGGTACGGCGTTTCCCGTGCGTTCGCCTAGTTTTCCGGACAGATTTCTTAATTTCTGTGTAATTTCCATCATCCGAACTGTCCATGTCCAGTGGAGTTCCTTCTTCAGCAAAGGAAAATCTGTTAGCGACTGGAATATTGAATTCAATGGTGGGACTGAGCGGGCGTTTACTGCTAGTCCGCGTCTCATCCACTATCATAGATTCCGCAGCCAAGTTTGTCATAGATTGTCCAGGTTCCGGTTGGTTCCTAGCAGGTATATTTTCCTTAACGTCAGTGTTTTCAGATCCTTGGAGAGTCATTTTGTGGAGTGTGGCTCTGAAACCGCGAAGTACTCGTAGTTCCATACTCTCCTTATCAGTGAGTGGCTTGTCATCAGGTCTCACTTCGTACTCCGTGATTAGCACTCCGAGAAAGTCAAAGAGCTTTTCAATCATTGTTCAATAGGTAAAGAGCAGAGGTCGTAGAAACAACAGACACGTGGCCGTGCTGTTAGTTCGCTAGGCCTTTTTACGGTGCTCGTAGCCGGGGCCAAAGCACCAACCTACTATTAGCCCCTAACAGCAAAAGGAAGTACGCAAATTCAAGTGCAGGGAGAGTCAAAGCGGGAGGCTGAAGTTCCTTCACGCTCCGCGTTGAACTCAGAATCACGCCCAAGGTCGTTCTTTCAGCAGTGAGGAGAAAAGCGTCCGTCTAACTCGAAAGACAGGGGTGAACTGCTTAGTAACGGCTTTTTATACCCTCCGGTAGTACCATGCGCGAGGAGGCAACGCCATCTATCAGCAAATATAATAACCTAGAATTATGTTAATAGAATTTTAAAGGCGTTAGGAAGGGCTGGGTTGGATTTAAAGTCATTAACTAAACTTCTAAATCTTTGTGAATGTGAAAAGCCTCAAGAAAATCCAATTCACCTATGGAAGAAGCCTTTTGGATGATTTTTGCAGACCCAAAATCAAAATTATGGTTAAAAGTCCAACTATGATACGCTATTGAAGACTTGTTAATTTCGCCTTTTTTGACATAAGATTCATGTTCCTTGATACGAAACTTCAACGCTCTTTTTGTTTGGCCAATATATCTTAAACCACACTGACATGATATACTATAAATTCCCCAAGAATTCAAGACAGAAACGCAATCTTTTAGAATCGAAGGGTGAATTTTATTAATAGGGGAGAAACCGACTTGAAAATTGAATTTCTGGAGAATCCGTGCAATTTTATAGCTAACAGAAGGATAAAATGGAAGCACGACAAGGTCATTAATATTATTTCTAACAGTGGAATGTCTTCTTTGATGGGAATCTGAAAATTTTTTAACGGCTTTATCAATAATCACGGGAGAAAATCCACGGTCAATCGCAACTGCTCTCAAATAATTAAGTTCATTGGTAAGCAAAAAGATTCAGAGAGGCAAAATTCTTTAAGCGCGGAAAACATAATAGTAAAAAGAAGCCATTTTTTGCTTAACAGGGTGGCATGACTTGGCATGGGGTGGTAAACAAACTGCAAAGGGTTTACGGTACACAGTGGTGCTAAAATCGGTTTCATTGCGGATTATAAGAATATCGAGGAAGGGGAGGGAATTGTTGGATTCAATTTCAAGAGTGAATTGGATGGCTGGATCAATTGAATTCATAATAGATAGAATCTCGGATAAATCCTCTTTATAACCGTCAAAAAGTGCGAAAGTGTCGTCAACATACCGAATCCAAAGACGAAAAGATAATTTATCAAATAATTTCATCTCAAAATAGTGCATATAAATGTCAGCAAGTACCGGACTGAGAGGATTACCCATAGCCAATCCTTCAACTTGACGAAAATATGCATTTTGGAAAACAAAGTGGGTTTGACTTAGAGAAACTTTAGTAAGCGAAACCAACTCATTAATTTCAGTATGTGTGAAAGTGAAATTCCCGAAGCCTAGTTTCAAGACAATTTTAGTGCTCCTTCGACCGGAACATTAGTAAACAATGATTTGACATCAAATGAAACCATAATGGAACGAAGTGGGGAAATATTTTAAGTTTATCAATGACTTCAACAGAATTTTTTACAGTGTGAATATTGTTAGCAAGTAGAGGAGAAAATCTGGAAACTAAATATTTGGCCAAAGGAATATGAAGCAGTACCTATGTTGGAAACAATTGGTCGAAAAGGAATACCGGTTTTGTGGACTTTTGGAAGAGCATAAAGTCTAGCGCAATTAGTAATAGGGCGGAATAAGTGATTTCTTCAACTGAGTTGGCAGAATGTGGGAAGATTTAATAGCACTTTTTACTTTCATGAGGTCCGAAGTTGAAGGATCTTTAGGGATCGAGCAGTATGGGCCTTCATTTATCAATTTAGAGACTCCAGTAATATATGTGTGTTTGTCCATAACAACGATCTGTCCGCCCTTATCAGCTTTAGAGATAATGATATTAGTATCAGAATGAATTTCACGTAAGATCTCATTTTCCTTTTTGCTAAGATTAGAACCCAAAGATTTTATTGTTAAAATTAACGTTATGAGTGGCGGATTAACGTTAAGTGGCGGATTGTATCCTTCTGCGTTTCCAAAAATTTTGGAGAATTTAAAGGCTTTCTCTATAGGGGCGATGATTTGAGGAATTGAAGGTTTAGATGTCTTTGAAAAGTTGAAATTAATTTAAATTAAATAATAATTAATAATAATAAGCCTTCTGGGTTTGACGATAGACGATCTTTTACTGATATCTGTAGATGAGCCATTAAGCTTCAAACAACTTCCGCATTTTCTAACTAAATTGACCGGCAAAATATACAAAAGTCGTCAATGACTGTTATAAATCAACCTCTGTAAATCAACTGTTGTAAAACCTCTCTCATACAACTCTAACATTTAAACAATGCTTGCTATCTTCAGTACTCAGATTCACTTGTTCAGTGTGGTTTTAGTTTGCTTTGTTAAGGTTTCTACGGGAAAAATTATTCCTATGCCTCATTTGTTAAATTGGTAAGTATAAGCATTTATAATAATATTTGAATAACATAATGTAATAATATAATTTCATTATATATTAATATATTTCTTATAATAATATTCACGATTTAGGTGGTATTTCAGTTTTATTACAATTTAAAAAATTACCATATTATGAAGATTAATTAGAATTTTAAAATTATAATATTTTGAATGAGAATAAATGTTCTCAAATTTAAACATTCTTTTAATTAAGCTTTATTTAATAATACTAGAAGAAAGTGCTCTGGTACTATATTTTAATTTTGGATAAAATCCGATCTGAAATAAAACAATGAAACTTTCGGAAAAAAAAGTAACTCTAGTAGAGGCCACATTTTATTTAAAATAAAGTGCAGATATGAAACTATACGCATGATAATGATTTGGTACACCATTTTACAGAAAATCAGTGCTACCAGCAAATTCCTACAATCAACTCAATGCAACCTATTTAAAATGGCTGATTTGTTAAAATCTTTGGAAACTTTTATTGCAGGATTCCGTCATGAATTTTTTGACATGGAACAAGAAGCAACTTTTATAACGTCTGTGACATTTAAAGAGCGGAATCTCAGGCCACGAAAAGGAAAATTGTTTTGATGAGACTATTGAAGAATCTGAATCACTTTCACAGCTCGAAGATTTTATTTCTAATTCTTTTAATTAAATTTTTAAAATTTAATTAATTTAATTAAAGTATTTAAAAATAATATAGAAAATTTAAAAATATTCTTTAATTTAAATTTGTAGACTTTAGAACAAAAAGTCTTTTTAGAAAAAATATTTAGATTATAAATATTTAGATATTATAAACGATTATCGATAAACGATTAAAGAAGTACGATGTCAAAAGAAAGATTAAACAGTACGGCTATATTATACATGGAACAAGAAGTGTTATATAATATCGATACTTCGAAAATAATTGATGAATTTGCTAGAACGGAATCAAAGAGAAAATTTACTAAACTTTCTTTCTTAATATGTAGAGTCCACTACAGTAACTTCTGTGTGGAAACTGTAATAGTAACTGTGCGGGAGAAGAGTTAAAAGTACCTTTTATTAACTTTTTAAAATTTACGATGCGCCAGCTCGACGCTAACAAACTACGCCTCTGCTTGGGCGGCATCTGAAACTAAAGAACTAAGTAAAGACTTTAAGATATGTATAAGTCGTCGAACTAAACTGTAGGGCTCAGAATAATTCCTGTATATTGAAGCCCCGTCGAAAATTAGTGGCAGCAATTTAATGCAATTAAGCCACGCGAACCAGCAATAATTCTGGGCGCAGACGCTTAAGCAACCAGAGGTGACGGTCATAGCCTAACTCTCTCTCTTTCCTACTGAATCTTGGTTTTTAAACTCTTTCTTCAAGGTGGAATTTGCATTCCTTCACGCGCGATACCAAACTTAAGTATTCTGGCACTGACAATTAGGAGTATGAAGGCTTATAGGAAAGAATAAAAAAATTAATAAAATTGGTCATTTAAAATAAATATAAATACTTAAAAATTGAATAATCAATTATTTTAATTTTGAAATATTTCAGAAAATGTAGTAGCTGTTTTATGTTCTACTTTTCCTTCTCATGGAAAATTTCATTTTTTGATATAATTTTAATTTTCATATGCAGTATTTTAGTCTTGAATAAATATACCAAAGTTTAAAATGGAAAATATTATTCATAATTTTATTAAAATATTAATGATATTAAGAAATAATGTGTATTTAATTATTTATTACACTTTAGCACTTACTATGAACCGATA